GCGACAAATAGCATCCCGACCGTTGCTGCCCTGCTGGCCGCTGCTCGCCGGTAGCTGGCACGCACCTCTTCAACAGCGGTGTGCCACACTACAAAGTCATACACACAGTAGGGCGAGTGTGTTCCATCAGTAGCTACGCACGCGCAAGCCCAGCAACTGCCCGGGTTCAAACCCCGACAGCAGCAAGATCCCAGATCTTGACAATATAATTCGGGAGCGGGGCGGGGCGGGGCAAATAGCAGTCCGACCGTTGCTGCCCTGCTGGCCGCTGCTCGCCGGTAGTTGGCACTCACCTCTTCAACAACAGCGTGCCACACTACAAAGCCCTACACACAGTATGGCGAGTGTGTTACATCAGTAGCTACGCACGCACAAGCCCAGCAACTACCCGGGTTCAAACCCCGACAACAACAAGATCCCAGATCTTGACAATATAATTCAGGAGCGGGGCAGCATGGGCGCGCAAGCGTCGTGGTGGCAAATCCTTTTTCCGCCACATGTCGGTCTCCTGCTGCACCTTTTCTTTCTTTCTTTTTTCTTCCCTCGTTTTCGTCGAAAACTGCTCGAAAAAGCAATCAAAAACCCTGTTATCGGGTTTTGGCGTTTTCCCTGTTGTGCGGGAGCGGGGAACGTTCCCGCTCTGATACCAGTGTGGTGAACCCACCAGGTGTGGCGCTCCGCCTGAGACAGAGATGGAGATGGAGGAAGAAGGGGGAGCGAGATGGCACAACGCAGCTCCCACGCCAGACTCCAGCGCACGTACTCCAAAGTGTGCGAATGTAGAATGCCTCGGAAAACAGACAACAACTGGGATATACCCTAGCGGACTGACGGGACTGGACTGGACTGGCTGGTATCGACAGAGGTACTGGCCTGGCCTGGACTACCCCGAATATAACATAGGCATGTGAGAACAGGCCAAGGGGCTGGTTTCACAGGCCAACCACAGGTCCGCTACAGTGTGTCTGTTTTGTGTGTGTGTTGTCATATTTGCTATACACTAAAACAGAAGGCTTAGCATGACTGTACCAGACTATTTCATCGGACTTTCACTGACTCATCAGGAGGTGTGTGTGTGTGTGTGTGTGTGTGTGTGTGTGTGTGTGTGTGTTAGTGTGTGTGAGAGAGAGAGAGACTCCAATGGTATTGTGATGCACCTGCAGGGGGGCACGTGCGGATATGGTGAGAGAGAGAGACAGGGAGGAGATGGACACACAGAAGAAGTAGCAGCTGAGGGACGGGTCCAGTTCGACTGAATAAACGAAAAATGACGAATGGAATCAACCAATCACTCAACCTGGGCCTAAGCCAAAGTGATATACCGGCCTAGGTCCAAGTACAAGAACAACCCGGTACCGGACTAAAGTCAGGCCGACGGCCTGAAACTGGTCCGTCCTCACTGTCGAGCCATAGGCGTACCACTACACGATCCTTGGACCTGTGAATGGAGTAGCGCAGAAACCGAGCAGAAGTCTGGAACACCGTGACAGTTACTCTGGTATAAGAGAGAAGCGCTGAGGTAGAAAGTCGAATGTAGAAGCCGAATGTAGAAGTCGAAACCGGGAGCTGCGGCATAAGTATCCAGGAAGAGTAGCAGATAAAGGAGAGGTATAGGTTAGTCATAATAGCAAAGACAAAGTCAGTGGCCACGCTGAGGGCGAGAGGGCTCCATTGCAACAGCAGGCAGAACCACATTCACGGGGCCTATGTCGCACCCTCAGCCTCAGAGGCCGGCCACGGCCCCGCAGCCTGGGCCGCACGGCCAAGTTTTTTCGTGGTCGTGCCACATGCAAGCGAAGCCGCGCGCCCGAAATGAGGGCGCGTGCATTGCCTGCTCATGGCCTCCCCCGCCAGAAACAACTAAGAAAAAAAAAACAAAGTGAAATTTGGGGGTGGGTACAACAAAAAAGAAAAACTAAACAAAAAGAAGCCTTTTTTTTTTTTGGGGGGGGGGGG